AGAAGACATGAAGATACGCCTGGAGGTCCTGAAGAGGAGCCGCAGCGGGCTCTGATGGGTCTGAGCTGTCCAGTTGACGGCGGGTGGAAAATGGTTGCCTAGCGCGCGCGTGCTCTCTCTCTCTCTCTCTCTCTCTCTCTATGGCTCCCTCCCCTTCCTCATGATCTTTGCATTCATATCTAACGCTGTCTCCTCCCTCTGTTCGCCCCCATCCCCTTCACTTTCGCTTCACCTCGTCCTCGACGATCCCGCCCTATTCGCTTCCTCTCCCCGTTTCACCTCGCCCTCGATGCTGCGCCCCTTCGCGTCACCTCTCATTCCTCCCTCCCTTCGCAGCCTCCTGTGCTCAAGACAGTACTCCCGAGCCTGGCCCCACTTGCGCCCCACTCGCCTGAAGCCTCAGGCAGAACTTCTGGGCGCATTCTCGACGCAACTTGCTACACACCCCATCATGCGCCATGCGTCCGCGTCCGTGGGCGTTCCGTGTGGGCAGGCCCGGGGCTGGAGACAGGCCGTCGCCTGCTTGCCGGCGCAGCGCTTTGGAGGGCACGTGGCGCGCCAAAAACGACCGTTCGCGGAGCGTGTGGGCTGGCATGGGGCCGCTGCCGAGAAGCGAGCTACTCGTGGGCTCTCGGCGGCGCGCCCAAGGGGGCAAGGCAAGGGGGGGGGGGGCTCCCCGGCCGCAGCCACAGGGCCACGCAGCCCCGCCGCCTCCCGAGAAGGCCTGCCCCCTCTCGCGTCCCCCCCCCTGCGGCGCGCCGCCGAGGCTCACAGAGTCGGCAGCCCTGCCTCCCGCACGCGGCGCCGCCAGCACCTTTCGGCACGCGCGGCCCTCTCGGCTGCACGGATCGGGCAGCCCCGCCCCCCCCCCCTCCAGGTAATGGAGGATGACGATGAATAAATGACCGGCGGTCGTTCTCCTCCAGTCAGAAAACGATGCAGAAACAGCAGAAAACTATGTTTTTAATCCCCTTCTCTCCCGTTTCTTGTGTTAACCGCCCTCCCGCATTCAGGGCCCAGCGCCCTGGAGGGGGGGCAGGGCCAGGGCCCTGCATCGGGCCCCTGGCCCCCGGGCCCCCGCCGTCGTGCACGACGGCGGCGTCTGCTGGGCGAGGCCACGGCCGCGGACGCCCGGCGAGGGCGCGGGCGCCGCGCACGCCGAGCGGGGCGCTGCCTTGTGCCGGAGGGCGCAGCCACCCGGGCCGCAGGGGCGCAGAAGGAGGGCCCGCAAGGCCAGCTGCGGGCCTCCGGGGCTCCTGCCCGCGCAGCTGCGCATCGGGCCAGCGCGCACCAAGAGTGCCGCGAAGGATGCGGGCGTCGCGCACGGCGCGGCTTGCTTGTGGACGTCGTGCGTGGCGTGGCTCACACCGGATCTTCGGGGGCGCTGCGAGGAGGGGCTCCTGGAGAAAGAGCAGGAGGTCACGGCTCTGAGCTGGCGCTGCAAGGAGCGAGCAGAGCAGACGGCCAAGAGCCTGGTGGGCCCCAGAGACAGTGCCAGCCGCTTTGGGACACCTTGCGGGGAGACCCAGACACTGCAGTTCGGCGTGGGGAGTTTCGGCAAACTCCCCGCGCAGAACAGAGTAAGCGACAAGGGCAAGATTTGCAGCAGTCATCGCGAAGAAGACTCGAGCTTCGTTTGCGAATCAGCTGGCGGCGCTGGCTTCGGCTGGAGCCCCGATGCCAAAGGCGAAACCGCTTCGCCTGCAGACGTATGTCCAGAATCTGGGATACCGTGGTATTCGCGCGCTTGCAACCCTGCCTGAGCAAGGCAGGCATTCAGGTGGAGGGGCAATACTTCGGGGGTGGACAGACCTCCTACCCTGACACACGTCGATTAGCGAATTGGCCGTTTTCGGTTCGCGAGAGGGCGCGGCGGCCGTCATTTTTGCGGGTCCAGGTCCGTCGGTTTCGGTCCCAGGCCGTTTTCATTAAAGGGAGGTTTACGAAAGGGAGGTTTGTCAACCGCCGAATACTGGTGCCCAGCCATGCAGCTGTCGCAGCACCGCCTGGTGCGGTCTCACCTGCGCTGGCGGAGGAACAGAACGCCATTGCCCAGAGTTCGCAGGCGGCGCCAAGCGGCGTCGCACTTTCCCCGCCAGGCGACCTGAACGCGGGCACTCGCAGCGTTCGCTTGCCTTGAGCATCTATGTCAGAGCACACTGCGGGTGCAGTGTTATGCACTCGCGCGTGCGCGGGGCGGAGGCGTGGGGGGGGCGGGCGGCCGGGCGCGCGCGAAGGGGGTCATCACAGCGATGCTCGACGTGATGAACCGCTTGGACACAGCGGCACTCTTAGAGCCGATCCGCGAGGCCCAGGGGCCAGGCCGCTGGATCACGTCACCGTGCGCATGTCAAGCCACGCGCCCTGCGAGCAGCACACGGGCGGGTGGCCAAGCTGCGCCGAGCTTGTCGCGGCGCCAGTGCGGCGCACAAGGCATCTGTTTTTTTGTTGCGCCAGGCGCCACTCGGATGGTTCAAGGCATGATCTGCGCGGAGCCAGGGTCCTTCGCACCGAGGTCAGCATCGAAGAACGAAAAAAGGCACAGACAGAAATGTTCGAAGGTCCGCGCGGATCTTTTGGGTCGGCGCTTGGGACCCCCCCTGGCGGCGCCTCCGGCGCCGCCCCTGGCTCGCTCCGCGCGCCGTGGAGGGGGTCCAGCGCGGATCCAGGCAGCCCGCGCGGACCTCCCAGAGTTCGTGCGTATGCCGCTGCCCCAGATCAGCAGACCCAGCTGACCGAAAACCTGCACACCAGAGGATCTGTGAATCGCATTTTCCCTGCGTGTGCTCGTTGCCGGCATCCATGTTCCGACATGCTCAGCGCACCGTCTGCCCTCTATGGGGGACCGCTCCGGTTACCGGAGCTGGCCCGCAGACTTCCGTTCCGCTCCGTTCCGTTCAGCTCGGCAGGCGCGCAGACCCAGCTCGGGCAGGCACGGACGTCCGCACGGCGCCGCCCGGGCGAGGCGACGGCTCTCTCGTGGGCACCGGCGCTGCGACCGCAGGGGGGGGTGCACCAGCTCTGCGGCCGGGCGCAGCGCGTCGGGCGCCCCCAGGCCAGGGTTAAGCTCGACTAGACGTAAGAGTGACCTTTCGCCGGAGTGACCTTTGATGCGGGCACCGATGGGTCCCCAGATGGCTGAAAACGAAGCAGTAGCAGCTGCTTGCGCGCCCAGGTTTGGCCCCCCCGCGGCCCCCAAAAAAGTCGCGCACCAAAGGTCACTCTTCCCCAGGGTCACTCTTGCGTATAGCCGATAAGTCGGGCCTGCCCCTCCACAGGGGGGATATTCAAAAATAGTCAAAAAATAGCCTGGGGACGATCTTCTGCATATGTTTGGACAGTGTTTGAACACTCTTCGGTCTGTATTCCACATGCCGTCCAACATCGGCACATGGAGGGACGCGCCCGACCTGGGGCCAGGGCCTGTGCAGGCCGAGGCAGACGCCAGGGGCCCTCGGCGGCTTCGGGCCAGGTGGCGCGGTCCGCGCCGGCCGAGGTGGCGGCCCGGCGCTCCGGGAGCCCGAGCGCAGCGGGGTGGCGCGGCGCCGCTGTCGGTGCGGGGCCTGCCCTGCCCGGGCCAGGAGCTCGGACAGGTTCGGCTCCTCGGGGGGATGCGCGGGGACCGTGTGCGGTTCGCTCGCGCAGCGTGTGCCGACGCAGTGCAGGCCTGCGGGTGCTGCACGTGGTGCAGCGACTGCCAAGCGCCAGGGCCGGTTGCCGTGCAGGTGTCCCTTGCGGTTGTGGAGCGGGCCTGGGCCGTCGGCCTGATGGAGCTGCTGCTTCGCTGGGGGAGGGGGTGGGGCAGGGAGCTCGCTGGTGGCCCTGGGAGCGGTAGGCCTGGTCCCCGATTCCCGCATCTCGGGGCCCGCGTCTGTGGCCAGCCGGCGGGCAGGAGGGGGCCGTGAGCAAGGCCGTGACATCAGGACGTCTGTCAATTTGATTACAGGGCTGGACCTAAGCGGTGTTTGGGCGATCTCGTGGGCCGTTTTCGTTTCGACTTCGTTTTGCGGTAGAGGTGGACTGAAGACAAAACGGGGGAAACCGAAAACACAACGAAAACGCACAACACCGTTTAGGTGCAGCCCTGTTTGATGAGGAGGGCGCACAGCGCCGAGCGCGTAGGGGGAAGTGTCAGAAGCCCCCTATGCTGGAAGGTACGAGAACCCCTTGAATACCACGCCAGACCAGGAATGCAATTGAGGGGATCGTTCGGATTTGCACGGGGTTGGGCTCCATGGGACACTGGGGTTCCGCCGTGATTTGGCACGCACTTAGGGCAGTGGTGCGTGGTGGTTGCTAACGCGCGGAGTTGCCGGCTTCGTTTTGGTGGCAATATCGCATTCGCAAGCCTCACGAGTCTTTCCTCCCCCCTCCCGCCTGTCCTCCTTCGTTCCCCAGACGTCTTATCCCCTGCATATAGTCTTCCGTTCTTCATCATTGCTTTGGTTCCTTTCGCCATTGGTGCCAGCAGTGCATGTGGAAGGGTGTTCAGATCCGATGGTCCATCCCTCCCTGCGATCAGGATAATGTTGCCGAGTGGCTCGGGCGTGAGATTTGACAACGTGGCAGAGACAGCTGCTCGCTGATGGGGCTTTAGAGCAGATGTTCTCGCATCCTGAGGTGGAATAAGGAGGACCTCGGGGATCCGAAGTAACAAGTGACAGATCGGCTAACCGTTGCGGAAAGCCACCAGTCTGTTGAGGTCACCCGACGGGTATTGATGAGTCTCTTTCTCCAGGACAGTGGTGGGTGGCCTTATGCGCTCACATTCAGTTTCCGATTGGGCGTACCTCACTCCAGCGCCGGCCCGAGAAGTGGACGAGGGTTGTGTTGAGCACGCTGACGTCAGGAAGCAGATTCCCAAAACATTGGCTGCCCACGCATAGCAAATAGCGAATCACACCGTACACTAAAGTTCAAAAACCAAAACTAACGAACAACTGAAAATGTTGACTGTCAGCCATGGCAAAGCGTTGGCGTAGTGCAGTGCTAGTGCGTTGCGTTGCCAAGACTAGTTGGTTATTTCTCGCCTCGGCGAGAGGCAGAGATACCAGTGGAGGGCCGAGCGCTCTCCCTTCAGAAGCTCGCCATATCCGTTGCAACTGGAATGCGGTGGGAGCAATAGCACATGTGACGGCGACGGTGAGGTAACGTTCGGGCGCCCACGCGTGTGCAAAAGGCGTTGAGGGGTACGACTTGCGCGTCTTTGAGTGCAGCTACGGCAACGATTTGGGTGAACGCGTGGCGCGAGGCTCGCTTACGTTCTTTTTACCGTTGCTATTGGCCACATGCTCCTCCCTAGCGCACCCCTAATTTTCGGATGGGGGCATGCGGGGGCAGCTTTGCCATAGTTGTTGTAGCTGTTGACGTTTGACATATCTCCACCAGGCCATTCAGAAACAGTTCGCAGGCGAGTTGTCGTCCTTCTTGGAGGCTTTTTGGGAGGGTTGTCGGGGCTGTGGTTTGTTTGCCTTGTCGTCTTATGCAGGCATTGTGTCCGAGGGGCAGGACGAGGACGACATGAGAAGCGAGAAATGCGAGGAAAGCAGGCGCGGACGGAGTCGACGACGACGACGAGGGCGAGGCGAGCCTGCCTGGGAGAGGGGGCGGAGGAGAACGAGGAGCAGAGCAGACCCAGGATACGCCAACGGTGAGCATAAGCCCAGGACCCGAGCAGGCCCAAAGGCACGCCCCCCCGCCCCCAAAGCCCCCTCGTCGTGCGTGGGAAAAAAACGTTAGAAAAAAACACACACTGTGTGTTTTGTGTGTTTGTTGTCCCACTGTGTGTGTGTGTGTGTTTTTCCCACGTGTGTGTGTAACTGTATAAGTGTGTAAGTGTGTAAGTGTGTAAGTGCGTAAGTGTGTAAGTGTGTAAGTGTGTAAGTGTGTATGTGTGTATGTGTGTATGTGTTCCCACAGTGTGTGTGTGTGTTGTTCCCACAGTGTGTTTTTGCCCCCACGCCCCCCAAAAAAGCCCCCTCGCCGCGCGCCTCTGCAGGAGAGCTCCCCGCCGGAGCGGGAGAGCGCCCCCCGCGGCACCGCGAGCGCTCCGCGCCCCGTGGGCCTGCCGGCCCCGTCGCGACCCAGCCTGGCGGGAGGAGGAGGAACGCGAAGAGGCAGGACGGCTTTCGAGGAGCTCTCTGTGGAGGTCACGCCGTCCCGACCCCCAGCGTTAAGTCGGGCGTGTCCCTCGACAGGGGGAATATATTCAAAAATAGTAAGACAAATGATGTGGGGACGACTTCCCAGACTATGTTTGAACACTTTTTGGCGTATTGGCGTATTTTCTGTTTTTGTTTATGTTTCGTCCAACATCGGCCTGCAGCGGGACAGGCCCGACCTAACCCCAGCGCGAGGAAGTGCGGGCTCTAGTTGCGCGTCCTGTACCTTTTGCAGCGAAGCTGTCTGAACATGACGGCATGTGGCGCAGAATCCAAGACTGGGTCCCTCGCTCTGGACATCCTCGCCAAATCGACCGCAGGGGAGGGGCCAAGAGCAAGAGTGTCTCTTGCACCGATTCCGGGACAATGCATTTTTCATTCCTCAAAAATGTTTGCACATATGGGTTCTTCCTGCTGCTCTAAGGAACTGGGCCGTGTCTTCGGTCTGGCGGCTATGTGGCCGCCGCCGCCGCCCCGTCGCCGCCTCGTCGCCGCCCGTCGTCTGGGCCGTGTCTTCGGTCTGGCGGCTATGTGGCCGCCGTCGCCGCCCCGTCGCCGCCCCAGATTGCACAACATTGGTCGGTTCTCTTCTTAGAGAGTATTACGATCGAGCCGCCCCAGCAATTAACGGTTCCCTTGTTCGTGTTGCAATGTGCGTATGATTTTGCCATATCGCCCCTCGTAAATATGAGGTCGGACCATCCCAGGCAGGCCGGTATCGCCCCCCCTCATCCTCTGCCAAAAATTGAATGCGCGCACGTTCGTTCATCAACAACCATCATTTTCCAAGAATTTGTTGCAGCAGCTGTGACGAAGTGCACACGCGCGCGTTGTCGCGCGCGCATGCCAAAAACCTTCAAAAATCTTGGGTGTCGCAAGGATGTAAAAATTGGGTCCCCCGAGAACTTTGAAAACAACACATGGCTTCGCAACAATAAGATTCAAAAGAAGCATGCGGCCGAACTCTTGCGAATTCTTAAGAAAAACATCGTTTTCCAACGTGCTTATAACATGCTACAACACGGGCCTCTCGCGCGCGCATGTCAAAATCGTTCGAACGCCCTTGCGCGCGTGCTGTCGCGAGAATCCTTTGCAAAAACAGGGCGAAGTGCACGCGCGCGCGTCGTCGCGCGCGCACGCCGAAATCCTACCAAAAAATGGTTTCGTCAGGATTTCAAAATCGAGTGTCCCAACAACAGATTAACGACATGCAGCGCCGGCTTTTGAAACAAACCTGCTCTCGATCTTCTGTAAATCCTCAAGAAAATTCTGACTTTTCAACATGTGCATTGAATTCTGCCAAATGGGCCTATCGCGCCGCAGGTTGAAATCGTTCAAACGCCCTTGCGCGCTCTCGCGCGTAGGCCGCGCGCATGTCGAATTCCTTCCAAAACTTTCATACATCACCGACGCGAGGACGCCGTCATCGTCGTTGGCGTCATCAGCATCGGCGCCGTAATTGGCCTTGCCGTCGTCGTTGTCAGCTTCGTTACCAGCATCGCTACGATCATCCTCAGGTCTACCGTTGTCGACGTTGCCATGATACCGCGCCCGCCCAACTCGCCGACTCGAATTGAAGCGCTTGTTGAAAAATGCCCAGCGGTCAGCGCCACCGCGGCCGCGTCGGTCTCGCCGAACTACCTGGCCGCTGCGCGCGCGATCGTGCGCGGGCTAACCCGGCCGCAGACATACAGCAGCCACACCCAGCACTCATCGCAATCGCCGCCGCATGGGCCTATGCAAACCAAGTTGCGGGTGGGTGGGGGGGGATGGTTGCGCGATCAGTGGAGTTGACAACTTACCGCAAACAGAATTCTTCTTTTTTTGAAGTATAATAATTAATGGTCCCCCCCCTTCCCTGGGATTCACGGTTCCATTCTTCGTATTGCAATGTACGTATGATGCTGCCCCATCGTCCATCGTGTGTATATATATACATGTGTGCGTATATATATATATAAGTTCCTACCATCCCAGCCAGGCCGGTACCCCCCCCCCGCCATTCTCTGCAATAGAGTTGTGCGCGCCTTCGTTCATCCAAAACCATGGGTTTCCAAGAACCCTCTGCAAAAAAACATATGACGGAGTGTACACGTGCGCGCCGTCGCGCGCGCATGCCGAAATCCTCCCCCCCCCCAAAAAAAAAACGTCGTTTGCGTAAGGATTCCAGAACTGAGTGCCAAACACACACACACACACACACACACATATGTATGTATGTATGTATGTGTATATATATATATATGTATATGTGTATATATGTGCACATACATACATACATATATATATGGTTTTTTGACACGCCCAGCGGGCGTACCAGCACCGCGGCTGCGACTTGTGGTTAGCCACTGGCCAGATGGTCCGCGAGGCGTGGGCCAGCGAGCACGCCCAGTGAGTTGCTCGACGGGCGCAGCTGAGCGCAGCTGGGGCGCGTAGCAAGCATTCCGGGCAACTCTTGCATATAGTGATCACGTGCTATCGAAGCACCACGGAGCTCCATTGTACAGTTTTTTCATGAAGAACCATCAGCGCCTGCGAAGCCGCGCGCGATGATTGGCCTCGGTGCCGTAGCTGAGACCAGCTGGGGCTGGTGCGTAATAGGCTTTCCTGTTAAGTTTTGCTTAAAGTAACTCCACGCTAGCGGGTGATCGACCTGTCCCGCCCTGTTTTGATTCGAACCAGATCAGCCTTCACAGCCGCGTGCGAAAATCAGTTGATGGGCAATGCGGCTACCGCCCTTGTCGCCGTCGCCCTCGCCCTCGCCTTCGCCTTCGCCGTCGTCGCAACAGAAATCTTCGTCGATCGCCATCGTGGCCGCCTGGCACTGCCTCCGCGATGGTTGGCCGATCAGTTTGACTTCGCGCGCTTCCTTCCCTAGAAGAGGAGGGGCGCTTGCAAGGGAGGTCAGCGCGGCGACATGATGACGATGACCATGGGGGGGGGCCGAGGGCGACGGGGGCGATCGGCTGATGCATAAAGAGGTGGAGTGGGAGGAGGACGGGGGAGGAGGACGGGGGGGGAGGAGGAAGGAGGGAGGAGGATGAGGAGGAGGAACAGGAGGGAGCGGAGGATGGGGGGGGGATAGAGAGCAGGAGGGGGAGAGGAATGAAGGCGGGGGGGGGGGGCGGGGGTAGGGGGGGGACAAGGAGGAACATGCGCAGCCAATCCGTGCGATTCACATGTTTTTTTGTTTATGTGGCCAGGGAAGCCACGAAACCTTGCTATTCACAGTTACTTGTGTTGTAAGGGGGGGTATCAAAAGCTCCACAAGCTCGGCCAGAAGGGGGCCGCGGGGAGTTGTGGAGCTTCCGGAAATCAGCATAGCACCCGGAGAAAAACAAAAACAAAAAACAAAAAAAAACGGCGAATAGCAGCGCTCGGCGGCTTCCCTGACCAGAGCCCCCCCCCCACCACCCCGCGCGCAAAAAAAATGTGAACAGCGCGGTTTGGTGGCCACGCTCCTCCTGCAACCCTTCTCGGCGAAGGGAGAGGAGGGGGAGGGGGATAACGGGGAGGGGGGGAGGGGGGGGAGGAAGAGGGGGAGGAGGAGGAGGAAGAGGAGGAAGAGGAGGAGGAGGAGGAGGAGAAGAAAGAAAGACAGGACAACAAAAAAAGAGAAAGAGAGAGAGAGAGACAGGCAACGCGTCGACGAGGGTAGGGGGCCACTGGGTGGGGGGTGGCCATATATATATATACATACAGACATACATACATACATACATACACAAACATACATTTACATATATATATATATATATATATATATAATGTAGATGTATGTAGATATATGTAGATGTACAAAAAACACACACGGTTTCGCAGCACGGGTTTTCACAACGAAACTTGCGCGCATTCCTGCGAATTCCTGAGAACAGCCATAGGCTTGTCAACATGTTCAGACAATGATTTCAAACGGGCTTCGCGCGCGCATGTCGAAATCGTTCGAACGCCTTTGCGCGCGTGCCGTCGCGAGGATCCTTTGCAACAAACGGGACGGAGTGCACGCGCGCGCGTCGTCGCGCGCGCATGCCGCAATCCGTCGAACACTTTTGGTTTCGCAACGATCCCACAACCGAGTGTCCAAACTACGTACAACAAGTTTCGCAACATCAGTTTTCGAAAAAGCGTGCGCTCGCGCTCTTGCGACATCTTGCGGGAACCATTGCTTGTTTTCCCAACTTGCGCATGGAATTCTGCGCGCGTGCTCGGGCGGTACGAGCCGTATCAAATACTATGCGGGTCACTCTCGCGCGTCGGCCGCGCACGCATGTCGAACTCTTTCCGCAACCTTCATCACCGACGCGAGGACGCCGTCATCGTCGCCGGCGCGATCAGCATCGGCGCCCGCAGCGGCCGCGCCTTCGTTGTTGCCAGCATCGTCACCAGCATCGCTACCATCATCATCGTGTCTACCGTCGTCGACTTTGCCATGATACCGCGCCCGCCCAAGTCGCCGACTCGCTCTGAAGTGTCCGCTGGGATGCGCCCAGCGGTCACCGCCACCGCGGCCGCGTCGGTCGCGCCAAACTAGCTGGCCGCTGCGCGCGCGCGTGGTTGGGCGCGGCCGCAGATATACAACAACCAACGCCCAGCGTGCATCGCAATCGCCACCGCATGGGTTTTGCAAACGAAGTTGCGGGTGGGTGGGTGGGATGTTTGCAAGAGCATGGGGCGTGTCAAATCGGTTATAGAGATCAATTGCGCCGCATAGACAGCATCGCAAAGATTGCGCCGCATAGTTTCTCCTTTCTCGGCAAATAAATAAACGCCCCCCCCCGGATTATCCATTCACTTTTGCCGTATTACAATTTACATACGATTCTGCCCCCACTGCCCACCGTAAGTATGAGTCCATATCACCCCAGCCGAGCCGGTATCGCCCCCCCCCCCGCCACCTTCTGCAACTGAAGTAATTGCGCGCGCACTCGTTTAGCAAAAACCATCAGTTTCCAAGAATCCCTTGCAAAAGAAGTCGAAGTGCACACGCGCGCGTCGTCGCGCGCGCCTGCCAAAATCCTTCCCAAACCTCCGGTGTCGTAAGGATTTCAAAATCGAGTGTCCGAAAACATTTTCTTGCTTCATAATGAAAAACAACAATGGGGAACAAAAAAAACAAAAAAAAAAATGGCTTCGCAACCCAGATGTTCAAAACAACTTTTGCGCTCGCCTTTGCGACTTGTCAAGAAACCATCGGTTTTGCAACATGTTCAGAAAGTGCTACCAAAAGGGCTTCGCGATCGCATGTCGAAATCGTTCCAACCTCGTTGCGCGCGTGCTGTCGCGAGACTCATTTGCAACAAATGGGACGAAGTGCACGAGCGCGCGTTGTCATCGCGCGCGCATGCCGCAATATGTCAAAAACTTTCGTTTGCGTAAGGATGTCAAAACCGAGTGTTCCAAAAAACATACAGAATCACATGGTTTCGCAACATCAGTTTTCAAAAAAAACGCACGGTCGCGCCCTTTGCGAGTTCTTGAGGGAACCGCCGGTTTTTCAAACTGTTCATGGAATTCTGCAAAACGGGCTTCTCGCGCCGCGTGCCAATATCATTCGCACGCCCTTGCGCGCGCGCGCATTTGGGGCACGATCCGTGTCAAATGATACCATGCGGGCCATTTTCGCGCGTCGGCCGCGCGCGCATGTCGATCTCTTTCCAACATTTTCATCACCGACGCGGGGACGCCGTCATCGGCGTCGGCGTGATCAGCAACGACGCCGTCATTGGACGCGCCGTCGTCGTTGCCAACATCGTCACCAGCATCGCTCCTGTCATCATCGTGCCTACCGTTGTCGACGATGCCATGATACCGCGCCCGCCCAAGTCGCCGATTCACAGTGAAGTGTCCGCTGGGAAGTGCCCAGCGCTCAACGACACCGCGGCTGCGTCGGTCGCGCAAGACTAGCTGGCCGCTGCGCGCGCGTGCTTGGGTTGGCGCGGCCGCAAAGATGCACCAGCCAACGCCAATCACTCATTGCAATCGCCGCCGCACTTTTGCAAATCAAGTTGCGGGTGGGTGGGTGGGATGTTTGCAAAAACATGGAGTGTGACAATTGTTTGTGAAAAAGAAAACTGCGCCACGTAACTTCCACAACATAGATTCCACTTATATGGCTGCACCACATGGATTGCACAACGTGGATTGCGCCATATAGGAGTGCACAACATATATTGCCCCACGTTCACCACGTAGCTTGCACAACAACTAGTGAAAAGCAGGGGATGCAGCACATGCAACGCGCAACCTTTCATTGCACCACATAAAATACACAACCGATACCGCACCCGATAACTTGCACCACCCAGGTTGCACCACAGATGATGCACAAAGTAGGATGCACCACGTAGACTGCGCCATCGGACTTGCGCGCCATCAATTGAACCGCATAGTTTGCGCGTCATGGATTGCACAACATATATCGCACCACAGAGGGCACAACATCTTGCATCGCACAATTTGCGCCACACTGGTTGCACCGGCTAAATGGCACCACATACGTTGCACAAATTGTACTGGCCGGCTAGTACAGTTCAGGGAGGTGTCTAGCGATATTCTTTTTCTAAAACGGATATTCAATACATGTGTGTAAATATTGTGCAATGTCGAAGTTCTGGTCGTGAGCATTCCCGAAGTCTCAAGCGAGAGCCCCACTTTTGAAAAGTAGCCACCCTCCATCTGTGTAGCCGCGGCACACTTGCGGATTTCGGGTCACTGGCAAGGGGAAGTCTCAAGCGAGAGCTGCAGTTTGAAAGCGAGCCAGCCACCAGCCCTCCATCATTTTTCAGCTGCCTGCGGCAAGACCAGCCGCCTTGCCAGCCCAGCAGTCTTGGGTGGCAAGTATTCGTGGTTGCGCGGCCGTCACGTGTGACACTCGGGCCTCTTGAAGGCCATGGGGTCCTTTGGGGAGCCTCTGGGGGCCTCTTGCGGGAGACTGCTTTTCGTGGGCGCCACTGGGGGACAAGAGAACCCAATCCTTCCTTCCCCGATGCACAGGGGGGACAGGCGGCGGGGGGGCGGAGCGGTCAAAGCACGCCGTCGACGGCCCGTGCCGCCCGAGCGCGCCCGCCGCAGGCGCGCCCGCCGCAGGCGCGGCGGCGCCGGGAGCCGCTGGGGCAGTGGCGACGGCGCTGCCGCAGGAGAGAGTGCCGCCCTGCCTCGGCCTCGTCCTCTCGGGAGAGTCGTAAGGAGGGGTCGGCTTGCGGTGGGGAGCTCTTGCTTCGCGCGCAGCGCCGCACCGTGCCGGCCCACCACGCCCCGGGGCGACGCGCCTGCTGCGCTCGGCATGGCCGGCCAGGCCGCCTGCCCCCGAGGCGCGGAGCGGCGCGCTGCCCGCCCGAGGGGCCCAGCGCGTCGCCGGGGCCGCCGCCGCCACGCGCGGAGCAGAGAGTCCCCCCTCGAGCCTCGAATCTCTCGATCCCCCTCCTCGATCCCGAGGCTCGAGCCTGGATCCTCCCTCCTCGAACCTCGATCCTCGAGTCTCGATTTCCTCTTCCCCCACCCTCGAACCTCGATCCCCGAGTCTCGATTTCCTCTGCCTTTCCTCTTCCTCTTCCCCTCGCGGAGCGCCGTGCTCTCGACGTGGCCGTTGGGGGGCCCCGAGGGGGTCGGGGCGGGGGCCGCTCCTCGGCTGCAGCGGCGGAGCGCCTGCGCGTGCGAGGGGGGCTGCCGACTGCGGTCCGGAATGCGACGGGCGTCGGCGCTCAGGGCAGGAGCAGTGCACCCCTCGCCTTCCCGCGGTTGGGCATGGCGAGCACTGGCCTCCTCTCTCTCCCCTGCTCCTGTCCAGACGATGCCCCGCCCTCTCCGCGCACGGTTTCATCACGGGCAGGATTTCAAGAGTTGGCATGTCCTGTGCGCGCGTGTGTCTGTGTGTGCGTGTGTGTGTGTGTGCGTGTGTGTTCCCATCCGTTTTTTTTCGGCTCTTGTTAATTGTCTTCCCACTGCAGTGCTGGTCTCATTTCCACGCATTCGGTCCTGCCTAATGGCGTTCCCGCTGCAACGCTGACCTCATGTCCGCGTGGTCGGCCCTTCAAGCTGCAGTTCACGCTGCAGCACTGGTCACATTTTCCAATTGCCTGCCCTCCAGCATGGTTTTATGGTTGGACCGTGCACGCAGACACGGCATGCATCTTAGCGTTGTGTCGAAAACCATTATTGCGGCGGGGGGCGTTCGTTAAGGAATGTGCCCAAGAGGCTGTATACCCTGGAGGATTATTTATCTGATAAGGGCGGTGGTGATATCCATGGCGAAGCCTCGATTGGAGTTCCACTGGCCTCCAGACCCTGGATTCCTTATCTGAGGGTTCCTTCTCCAATGCCCCCACCGTACGTCATTACATACCTTGCTCTGCCATCTAGTGATATGCAATGCTGGGCTACGCAGTGCCATGCTATACTGTCCCGTGCCATGCTGCTGCATGACATGAAATGCTATGCTACGTCTTGCGATGCAATGCCTTTCGCTTGGCTATTATATGCAATGGTTGGCTATGCAATGTAGCACCATGCTATACCATGCTACGCTATGGTATGCAATGTCACGCAATGCTCCTACACGACACTATGCCATGCTATGAATCGCAAACCCTTTGGGTGTCGTTGTCCTCTTCGACATCCGATTGTGCGAATAAAGAGGGGGTGTACGCCGCCCTGCGCCATGTAAGGGATGGGAGGGAGAGGTAGGACGTCATTTATGACGCGAGCGCACCTAGCTTGCCTCCACTTCCTCGCCGTTCTCCCATGGGAAGTACATCTAACCAATACCGCTGTGCTTGGGTCTGCTTTGGAGCATGACACCCCCCCACTCGGCATCGACCATTTCTTGAGCATTCCTCAGTGCCGCGTGTGGCCACGCCTAATTTCTGTTCGCAGAGCATAAGATCGTCCAGGGCAGGGCTCGGAGGGCGCCCAAGAGAGCTTGAGGAGGCATCCCCCGCATGCCAACGAGATTTCATCAGCCACGCGCAGAGGGGGCTGGGGGGAGGGGGGAGGGCTTCTTAGAAGCACCCCTGCTTCTTAGAAGGCGCGGGCCTCAACTAGAGATGTAAGGCCGGCGCCTTCTGAGAAGCAGCCTCTTTCTAAGAAGCCTTCCCCCGCTCCCTCCACTCCCTTGTGCGCGCCGCCAATCTGCATTGGAGCAGGACAACCCCGCTCGGCATCGACCATTTCTGGAGTAGTCCTCAGTGCTGCGTGTGGCCACCGCTATTTGAGCCTGCAGCTTCTGACATCGGCCAGGACAGGGCTCGGAGGGCGCCCAAGAGCGTGAGGCTGAATCCCCCGCATGGCTCGGGGGCGCGCAGACATGTATTGGCGATCCATGGATTTGGCGCGCGGTCGCCAGATCCATGGCTCGGGGGAGGTGCCCTCCCCAACATGCGGCCAGCGCCGCCTCGCTCGGCGGCGAAAGTCTGCGATTCCCCTTGGAAGCGGGACCCGTCGCTGATCCATGCCCCCTTGATCCCCTTTGATCCAGGAGGAGGAGAAGGAGGAGGAGGAGGAGGAGGGAGGTGGAGGGAGGAGGAGGAGGAACGTTTTGGAACGTTTTGGCAAGCAACGTCGTGCAACGAGGCGGGCAGGGCAAGAGAGGGAGAGAGCAGCAAACAGGAGCGAAAGTGCCTAAGGCACCCCCTTTAATCGGAATCGCTGTTCGGGTCGACAGGGAGAGGGACGAGAGGGACCTCGTCCACCGAAACAGGCAAAGCCTCCCCGACTCCCTGAGTCACAGCCAACTCCGACATGGGATGTCGCGCTCGAGCTCGCTGATCAGCCACGGCAGAAAACCGTGCGTGGCGAAGCAGGACACTCGCCTTGGACGGGCCTGCGTAACTCGGGTACAAACCACGACGAATTCTGGCCAGATGTTCAATGCCCTTGCGAGAGGGCGCTTTACATTCAAGCGCCAACTGGCGCCCGTCCGAAGTCGCCGTGCGGCCACAAAACTGACAAAAGCACAGACAATGCAAATCCCAAAACGCAAGCTTGTGGGATGGATGCAAGACCGCTCCAGACACCGCGACGGGACCAGGGACCACCACGACAACGTCAGAGGGGAAGGAGTCCACCCCAACAGCAGGGATGCATGGCGCCTTGGAGACCTCTAAGAGGTGATTCTTATCACACAGCGCCTCGCAACTCCTGCAACGAAACGCGCTGCCGAAAGTCACAAACTTGTGAGGGGAGACGCGAAGCGCCCGATCCAACTTCGAACCATGCCTCGCTCTCTCCAAGGGCGCCACAGCTGGGCGGGCCTTCCTGGGGTCGGCCGCTGACGAGTCGATCAGGGCGCGACGCGCTCTCCTTCTAATCAGGGCGGTCTGAGCATCCCAAAAATCAGTTCGAGGGACCGTGCGGGCCGAAAGGTGCCAGGAACGCTCCGCGGCCTCTGAGGCCGCGCGGTCCGCAAGTTGATTTCCAGACCCGAGGAAAACCTGGTGGGCCGTTCGGCCCTCAGCCTCCGTGTCTAAGTGGGAAGTCGTCCACTCCAAGGTTACTAAACCTTCACCTCGTGAAGCAAGAGCAGTCTTAATTCGGAGCCACAAGTCCCAATTCCGCCCGCCCACCGCACTAACCCGACCCCGCTCCCAACCAGCAATCAAGGGAAAGTGGCCCGTGACATAATGAGCGGGGCCAGTAGTGCCCTCAAGGCACAAGGCGAAAGCCAACAACTCAGAGCGGGGGACCGTGTGGGTTCTTCCCATTAAAATTCCAGAAACGCCCCCGACCACTTCCCACGTCGACGTCCCTGGGGTTCTCCTGACAGAAACAACAGCGGCGCCACAACGGCGGCGCCGAGGGTCGGAGGAAAACCGCCCTCCCGAGCCGTCCCCAAAAACGACCAGGGGGCCAGGACCGACAGAGGACAGATCGGTCAGGGACGTCGAGCCGAGAGATTCTAAACCCTCCGCTTCGGGTGGGTCCACAAACTCAGGGTGAGTGTGGCTGGTCGGGGGAACACCTCTAAGCCACAAGACAGGATTCATATCGCAATTA